CCAGGCTGGATTCGAACCCGCCACCTTAGGTGTATGTGGCTGGCGCCTTAGCCACTTGAGCCACAGGCGCCGAGTAGAGAACCTATCTTTAAAAATAGCCAGGCATTGTGGCAGGTGACTATAGTCCCAGAGACTTGGAAGCCTAAGATAAGAGGATCACTTGAACTTAGGTACTTGATGTTGGTGTGAGCTATAACACCACAGCACTTTACCGGGAGCAACATAGTGAGATTCTGTCTCAAAAAAAAAATTCTTTCTATATAGGATATATTTCCGATATATTTCCCTAAAATGGCTGATAAATTGGGTATAAGTGAAACTAGAAAATGACACCAGCATAAGTTACTAAAATCAGTTAGTATTCCGTTTTTCTCAAATTAAGAAAATCAGTTGGAATAATCCATTTAAAATGATTATTCCATTAAATCTACAATCACATGCTACTCTAAAGTTCTCATTTACCATAGTGAAACACACCTACTTTAGAGCATTTATGAGTATTAAACATGAAAACACACTTAGAACAGTCCCAGGACATATAAGTAGTCTGTAAATACTAGCCTTATTGTTCCTCTAAATTCACATCTCAATAGGAAAGTCTAAACAAGGACTAGATTCAAATTTTTATTGAATATTTTCAAAATAAAGTGAAGCCATAATAGAAATTTATGGCATAAGTCATTTAGATTTAATGCTCTGCTTCCAGAGAATAGCTAGCAATAACAAAACTTACACAATGAATGTCCATGAAGAGAAGAATAGCAGTATTTTAAGTCTGCATTTCTTAAGTGGATTGTACTTGAACTATTCCCAGTGCAAATTTCCTCAAGAAAAAACTCACTGGTTTCTAAATGTACACTTTTTACCTACAGGAAACTGGGTGAGATCTTCAAAGATCTCCTCAGGCTAGTCAAAAGGGACCTCCCGCCCCAAAATAACTAGACCTTAGATAAAGCAATTTAACACAATGTTCCTATCTGTTGGGTGCCTAGCAATCTCAAAAATAAACAAAAAAGTGAAATGAAGCATGATAGTGTATAATGGTAGTCCAAGTTACTCAGGAGGCTGGTGTGAGAGGATCACTAGAGCCTAGGACTTTTGGACTATAGCACTATGATCATGCCTGAGAATAGACCCTACATTCCAGCCTGGGCAACACGGTGAGACCTTATTTCTTAGAATAAATGAATAAATAAATAAATACAATTGAACTCACACAAGAGTAGGAACAGAATGCAATAAACACATGAAAAAGTAGGATTATCCTGCAGGCCATTGTCAGCTCTGAGATTGATCAGAAAGCCTTGGGGGCAAAAACAAGAGTTGCTGTTTAGAGTGCTAAACCAGAAACTGCTACTTTAGGCTGGCAAGTGTCTGATCTAGTCTAAAAATATACATGCTGGAAAGGAGCTAAAGTGTTCCCAAGTCAGTGGCATATCCTGGCACCTAGCAAAAGCATAATAAATTTTCTCTGGCATTAAGAATCCTTAATTTAGGCTCTTAAGATCAAATATAAACTTGCAATAAAAAAAGCACATTCAAATGAAAATAAGCCTCAATGAAGAACAGACATAAAATCATCAATACTCCCAAAGATTTTAGATACTAGAATTAACATATGGAGAAATGTGAAACAAAACAAAGTACGGGGGTGGTGCCTATGGCTCAAGGAGTAAGACGTGGACCCCATATTCCAAGGGTGGTGGGTTCAAACCCAGTCCCGGCCAAAAAACTGCACAAAAAATCACCACAGTACATATCAAAAGGAAATTAGCAAGCAAGATATGAGAAACTATCAAAAAACAAGCATCAGCAATCCCATTCCTAGGTGAAAAATTAAAGAATATGTCCACACAAAAATATTTATAGCAGCATTATAATTCATAATAGTCAAAAGGAAATAAGCCAAATGTCTATCAATGGATGACTAATTGTGGTACATACACACCCCCCACCGGAATATTATTCAACCATTAAAAGGAAGTACTAATACATGCTACAACTTCAAAGAACCTCAAAAATATAACACCAAGAATCCAGTCACAAAAAGTCATGGTTCTTTTATATGATATATCCTAAATAGGCAAAATCTATAGAGACAGAAAGATTAGTGGTTACCAAGCATTAGAGGAGGGAGGAATGGGGTGTTGTTCTAAGCCAGGCATCCTCTAACTACGGCCCGTGGGCCACATGCAGCCCACCTAGGAAATTTATCCCGCCCACTGGGTGTTTTTGCCACCGCTGCCTGTCCTGCTTAGCAGCTGACTTGTCCCAGGGCCCGCAGTCCAGCCCTCCAACGGTCTGAGGGACAGTGAACTGGGCCCCTATTTAAAATGTTTCAGGACCTCTGCCATAAAGCGACAAAAGTCTTGAAACTAGACAGAGATGATGGATGCACAATTTTATGCACACACTAAATGTCACCGAATTGTACACTTTATAACTGTTAATTGTATGTTATATAAATTTTGCCTCAATTTTGAAAATCCTAACAAAAAGGGAGCATATCTGAAGAAATAAATGTAATGCTGAAAATGCACTTATCATTATACCACAGCATTTCCATTCCCAAGTAACTATCTTATATAGATTCTTGACACCAATAAACAGATGCAAAAATGTTCAATATATCACTTCATTAATGGCAAAAACTAGATGTAAGTGTTCTTTAACATAGAAATGGATAACAACTCTATTATGTTCACTCAGCAGAATATATATAGCAGTAAAAATAAATGAGCTATATATCCAATAATATGAATAAATCTTAAAAGACAGCACTAGTACTTTCATATAACTTAAGCACAACTAATATATTTTGTATATATCAAACACAATAAAAAAGTTAAAAGACCATGGAAATAATTCAAAATTTGGAACAGTGATTATCTCTAGCGGAAAGATAAGGAATGATATA